TTTTGTATTTTTAGAGATGGGGTTTCACCATGTTGACCAGGCTGGTCTCGAACTTCTGACCTCAGGCCTCCCAAAGTGCTGAGATTACAGGCATGAGCCACTGCGCCCGGCCATCTGGAGGTCATTAAGGTGAAATGCCACCGGTGTAATGTCAGCAACTTAGCCACACTCAGATGAGCCGGCCCCTTCTACACACCCTCTGTCCGCGACAGCCACGCCCTTTTACAGCAGGCATGGGGGCCTGAAGTTTCTTTGGGATCATTTGTCAGACACCGATTTCAGGAGTTTAAAAGCAGGTTGGGAGGAGAACATGAAAGGGGAAAGTGAGGCTCTCACCGTGCAGAGGCTTCTGTGGCAGACGCTGTGCTTCTGGGACCCGGGGGCTCTGGCTCCCTGTCTGTAAACAGGGCTGTGGGAGGCCCGACAGAGAGCAGGACACACAAAAGGACGTGTCCTGGGACTCAGCAGGCAGCTCCTCCCATCCCACAATCTGGGAGGCTCTGGGCACCCCAGGCTGACCGTGATGTTCTGATCTCCTCCAGGCCCAGCCCTACCTCGCCTCCTTCCCCTTCCTTGATGCAAAACAGAAGACAGCCCTGTGTCCAGGAACCAGCAGTGCCTGGCCCGGTCCCAGGCCTTTCACGCATTGGCTGTGTGACCTCGGGCAGCTCCCGGCCTCCCTCTGGACCTCAGTCTCCCTGTGTAAAGGAGGGACTCAGCCCGGAGCAGGCTTTTCAAGCCTGGCCACACACTGGAATCACCTGAGATGTTTTAAAAAATCCTCCTACCGGCCAGGCACAGTGGCTCACACCTGCAATCCCAGCATTTTGGGAGGCCGAGGCAAGTGGATCACCTGAGGTCAGGAGTTCGTGATTAGCCTGGCCAACATGGCGAAACGCCGTCTTCTGCTAAAAATACAAAAATCAGCCGAGTGTGGTGGCAGGTGCCTGTAATCCCAGCTACTCGGGAGGCTGAGGCAGGAGAATCTCTTGAATCCAGGAGGTGGAGGTTGCAGTGAGCTGAGATCGCACCACTGCACTCCAGCCTGGGTGACAGAGTGAGACTCTGTCTCAAAAAAAAATAAAAAATAAAAAATAAAAAAAATCCTGCGACCTGGGTGCCACTGCTAGTGAATCTGCCTTAATTGGTCTGGGTGCGGCTTGCACACCAGAGTTTTAAAAGCCTTCCAGGTGATCCCAGTGGACACTCAATGCTGGGCCCCACCAGTCTGGACTCTAGAGGCTGTTGCTACTCAAAGTGTGGTCCCCGGACCATTAGCATGGGCATCACCTGGAGCGGTCAGAACACTCAGGCCACACCCTGGCCTCAATCAATTGGAATCAGCCCTCTCACAAGACCCTCAGGTGCTCTGTATGCAATTTAAAGTTGGACCAGGCTGGGGTGGTCACCAGCCTGTAATCCCAGCACTTCGGGAGGCCGAGGCGGGCCGATCACAAGGTCAAGAGTTCAAAACCAGCCTGGCCAATATGGTGAAACCCGTCTCTACTAAAAATACATAAATTAGCTGGGCGTAGTGGTGGGTGCCTGTAGTCCCAGCTACTCAGGAGGCTGAGGCAGGAGA